CCCTACCACTCCTGCAACTATTCCAGCGACTGCTCCGATGTCGATTCCGACGACTGCTCCGGCAATCGTTCAGGCGACTACTCCGATTTCGGTGGCCGTTCTAACGAATGCTCCGACTCAGGTCACAGGTCACATTCTAGGTCACAAGTCACAGTCCAGGTCACAACTCAAGTCACAAGTCACAAAGCATGATTGTTTGTTTATAATAATTGATAAAATGACAAGGCTCATGTCTTACATTTTTGTTGATAGTTAAATGTTTATTTCAAATGGTCACAGCACAAGTCACAGAATATTTTGCACACGGCTTACGATTTTGTTCATAGTCCCATGTTATTTTCAAATTACTCAGATTCTGGTTGATAGTCACATGTTTATTTCAATGGCCATATCATAGGTCACATAATATTTTTGCGCATGACTAAGATTTTTATTGATAGTCACAGCATCGGTCATAGAATATTTTGCACATGGCTCAGGTCACAGCACATGGCTCAAGTCACAGCATTGGTCACAGCACATGGCTCAGGTTACAACATTGGTCACATAGACTACACAGCACCACCTCACCACCACCATCGTCTTACATGCCCTAACCCTACTCTACCGCTACTACCACAGTCGACAACCCACCACAACCACCATCACAAACGTCACCAACACAGCCTCACCAATCGACGACAAACCAAAAACAATGAGAATCTCCAGCACCAACAATATGGCCGTCGAATCTGCACAATCGCCACCACCACCATTCTGATCGGAACCCCCCACCTCTAATCGACCTCACCCAAGCAATCATGGTGCCCAAGAAACTAAAAGTGCTGAATTAAAACAAACTAATTTATCTCTCTCTCTCTACAGACTCTCAACACAGTCCACCGTCTACACCAATTCCAAGTCACCACTTCAGATCTGTCAATGTTGGTGCTGGTTAATTCAATTATTTTTTGAATTGATCAGTTGCAGGATATGCTAGCTCGCAAGCGAAGACTCCAGTGACTTTTGGCCCGACCGATCTGGTTTGCCATCGGACCTTACAAGGTCACACAGGAAAGGTAGAGAGAGAGGGGTGTCGAATGTTGTAGAGAAGAAGGGGGATGTCGACTACGCCGCGACGGTGGAGGGATGCCAAGTCTCTGACTGCCGACGATGGCTTCGCGATGGAGGAGAGGTTGTAGATAGGTTAGGCTTCGCGATCTGGTTTGTTGTAGATAGGTGAGGTGGTACCGACGGTACCGTGCCGACGGTGTGGTGGCAATGTGGTGGCGGTGAGAGAGAGAGAGAGAGAGAGAGAGAGGGCGACGACGGGTCGAAAATGTAGAGAGAGAGAGGGCGGGTGAGAACTAATGAGAAATAGAGAGGTGAGTTAGGGATTTAGGTTCAGTTGGGGTGGGGTGTATATAATTTAATTTTCATAATATTTTTAATAATATTTAATTAAATATAAAAAATCTGTATCTATACATTTAAATATCTGATTTTTGAAACTTAAAACACCAAATCTGATTTTAGAAATTGAATTTTCAAATGTAGGGGAGGGTGTATTTTCCACTAAGTGGAATCCCCTCCCTCACATGTAATTTATAGATATAACAAGTTTCATGCAATTTACCATTTAACGGCCAGATTTAGTTTGCTCACATTTAGCTTTCCTTAACGTGACTTCAGTGCTTACAGTTTCCCATGCCGAATTGTAGCACGACTTATTGTATATATGTACGATGTTCAATGAATAAAATAACAATTCCCAGTTACTTTTCTATTGAAAATCTCAAATTTTGACTTCAAAAACAATAGTACAATTTGACACCCTGCGACAGGGAATGGGAATGGGAATGCAGTCGATGGCAAGTAACTGACGATCACTTCATCCCCAAACAGCACTGACCTTTGCAGAAGGATCCTGAGTTCTCAGTCGGTTATTGAATCCAAGAAGCTTATTCAACGCACCAATATAGGCGCGCACACTCGAGATGACTATATCCATTGCTGCTCCAGTGCCGCTGGCAGTAGAGAGAAAATCATTTTGTTCAATTATTCAGTTCAACAAATTGAGCAACCTAAATTATTTTTGAATGTCGGAAGTAACAAGCAAAATTTCCTTCAGCCAATCCCAAATTTGTAGGGAGACGTAGTTTGTTGTAGCACCATGGAGGAATTTTACTTACAGAAGGAAGGTTGAAAGTCACTATGCCTACCTGAATGCACGATCCACAGATTTTCCCGTAGAAGCATGGGTCGTAGTGATGCAGTCATGTCCTCGAATTTGAACTCTAGTGGTGGCTATAGCATCAATACCTTCAGTGACTGCATTCATGGAATAATCCACGAGTGTCACAGGAACCTACACACAACGAAAGAATGAAAAATAATGAGACTGACCTGACAGAATCAAGTACGTATATGAGAGAAGACCCAACAATTAGCATTGTCACTGGAAACCAAATGTTGATAAGTTGTGCACTGGAATAGCATGTATATTTCATCAATTTTGACACTGGGATTTGCTTTTTAATGCTCAAAAAAGCATTTCTTTCAGGGTGCATGCCAGATACTTGAGGGGTTCTGAGAAAAGCTTTAAATAGCTGAAGCTATTCATAAGTATTTTTTGTTCAGCGGGATGATCTAATAAGATTTACAAAACACGGGCATGTTTGGTACCCAATACTGAATTGGAGTACACAGAAAAATGAACAAGATTTTACAAACTTTTTCTTCCTTGATACTTTCTGCTACTGTCATCCATACCAAACATACTACACGGGGGAGTGGTCAAATCATCACATGCTAACAAGAAATCTGGTGCGGTCAACATATTCAACTTGCATATACACACCAACAAAATATAGAAAAAAATAATACACGAATAATGTGATGTCATGACCACTTTTGAACAAATATAGGTTAACACGAATAACTTAGATCAAGCTTTGTGTGTTCATTTATGCATAAAGACCTCTTGATTTATTTAGCATTATAGAAACATATGGGTGAGTTCAGATACTTGGATAGACTAGCAATAGTTTACTGCAAGGGTATCTTATACTCCAAAGAAATCAAGTTTCAAGTTATGCATTTCAAACCTTTACAATAAGATCAACCGCCTTATATGCTGCATCAACTGGTCCAGTTCCAACAGAACAAGCAATATGTTCTTCACCATTATCATCAATGAGTTTCACTGTTGCCGTAGAAAGGCCAAGCGTTCCACATGTAACCTGTTCATTGGACATATACCAAGTGAATAGGAATAATCCTTTATAGTTAAATCAAATGATCAAATGTTATGCTGAAAACAGTTAGAATGGAGACATGCCTGTACATCTCCAAGTTTCCAAACTTCTTGTGGCTGGAAAACTTCATCTGACACCAGGGCTATGAGGTCATCATCAGTGATATTCTGCATCATCAGTAACGATTAACAAATTTAAGCATGAACGTCCCAACACCAACAATTGCGTAAATGAAAGCAAAAAAAATGCCTGAATATTTCATCAACCTTTTTGTTTCCTGCAACAGCTTTGAAACGTGTAAACAGATCGTCAAGTTTATTTCCATCAATGTCATATCCAAGCTGCGATTGTGTTCAAAGAGTCAAGTTGATGCATGGAAGAAAATAACCAACATTATTATGCCAATCCTTCATGGATAAGATCAAATTCAAGACCTACCTCCAACATTTTGGCTTTCAAAGCATGGCGTCCACTGCAGGTTGTTCCAAAATCGGTCAACAACATTCACAAATTATATCCACATACGTCAATGATCCAGAAGCACCACAGAGAGACAGACAGTGATTAAACGACAACATTGGAAATGGTGAAAAATGTATGCCATGAGAATGATGCCCAGGTGGCACTTAATATGAAGGAAAAACTACAGTTTTCATCTCAGAATATTCAAGATCGCAGTATTTCTTAGACATATGGCCTTCAGGGAAAAGAAAAAGAAAAAAATCTTCTCTCCTCCCAGAAGAAGGATAAGGAAGCTTCATACAAACAAAAATCTTTTTGGCAGGAAAAAAAAAAAGAAATTTATTAACAGAGTATCTTCTTAATTTCCTGACGTGGATATTGGCTGGAATTGATTGAAACTTTAGCATGGGAACATGAACGCACACCTTGGCCAATTTGATTCATTGGACAGATAAGCCTGCAGTTCTTTCCATTGTCCAAGAAAGATTGGAACAATAGTCGGGTATCTTTATTACATTAGCTAAAACTAATTTGTTTTCATTCGTTTATATCGCAACAAGATGGAGGAACCTTCAAAAGTCACAAAGATTGAAAAGCTTACAGTATCAACATATTAAAATATCCCAACTTTACTGCAAATAAGACAATGACACCATACAAGGAGCTAATAAACATCTGATGAAGAGAACTTACAAAATGCATCTATAACCATACACCATAAGAAGATAAGAAAACTACTTCCCAGAGTAAATGAAAGGGGAGATGTGGTGATTCGCAAGATAGGAAATTAGAAATCAATCCACTTTCTTTTGCTGATATTGTTTTGTGGTTTCTCTCCCAACTTATTCATACCATTTTCTTTTCCTCAAAACCACATTAATGTTAAAATGCTAACTTCATAGTTTCTGCCAATCTGACATATCATGCAACTAAAATCAAGTTGGACAAGCAGAGGCACACCTTAAAAAGTATTTTTTGTCGTTTTCTCTAATTTTGAAGTTACGTGTTACGGTATTGAGTGTTATGCTGTTTACAGGACAAATGTCCAATGGATGTAGAAGAATGAGAGCATAAATGATTCTCTCTTCTCACATGTGGTATTGTGATATATAATACACATCCAAAGTAAGTAAGGAATCCCCATTTGAATGATTCAGAAGCTAACATTGATGTCTGGGCATAACAAAAAAAGAAATGGGAATATACATAAATAATTGGAGGTTACAAAGATAGAGGATAAAAAAAGGAAAAGTCCACTTAGTTGCTTGGAATGTGTTGTGCGTAGACTTGAAGGGATTCGTTGTTCATAACAGTGACCCAATCTCAGTATAAAGCTAAAACAAACATGGTTTGTTGCTTGAAGGGATTCGTTGTTCATAACAGTGACCCAATCTCAGTATAAAGCTAAAACAAACATGGTTTGTTGCAGTTACTAACGATGTAGTTGTATTGGATCTTCCATCCACCAATGAACCAAAAAGTGACAAAAAACCATTCATGTAGGCAACCCCGACCATTATTGTAAACAAGACTTAGTTTGCCTCTTTATTGGTGTTTTTTTTTTTTATAATTTTGGATATAAGGAACGCATAAGACATACTCTGAAACATGTTAAGGAAGTTGCAACATATTAAAGACATACTCTGACAAATTGAAGCATGGTTTTAAAAAATCCAATTGAAACCCAGATTAAGGCACGCCTCAAGGTGAGGCATGCATAAAAAAAAAGCGCCAAACCACTGATTGTGAGCTAGTTTTTGGAAGCTTACATCTCAATTGTGCAAGGTACACACCTCACAGCACCGCTTCAAAGCTTGTGACCCACAAGACATGAAAATTCTCATTAATTTGGGAATAACAACCTACCCATTAGAACATTAAAAATTGTGTCTCTTACACCTGCTTTAGGATTAGTTAACTTTCCCACCAACTAAAATAATAGTTTCTTCATAGATTTTTCTTTTGCTTGTTTACAAACTTTAAATTGATCTATTATGAAATTTAAAGATTATTTATGATGTACTATGAGCTTATTTTGCATTTTAATATTTTTGACATTTTTTGGTTCACTATGAGGCTTATGCCTCCAAACACCCCATGAATGAAAAACGAGTCAATACTCGTTTTGCCTTTTTAAACATTGCATTGAAGGAGCCTATTGGGATCAAAATGTTAGTTGAAAAAACAAAAGATGGGCATGGTATAACATGAAAAATATTTAGGTCGTAAGGAGAAGTATAGGCAATTGAACCCTGGGGGGTGGCTCAATTGGTCAGACCTTGGATTTGCTCCCCAATAGTCATCAGTTCGAGTCTCCTCAGGGCCACTGAGGTGAGTACCCGACCGTAAGCTTTAGGGCCCCGTGGAATTAGTCGAGGTGCGCTCAAGCTGACCCGGACATCCACGGTTATCAAAAAAAAAAAGAAGTATAGGCAATTGATTTAATATTGTAAGAACAAAGAATAGAAATGAATACACAACTTATTTGCCTCTGACGCACCTTGTCATTATCCAACCATCTCTAGCGTGCTTCTTTGAGATCTTATCATTTATCAACTATTCCTTTAATTGAAACCCAAATAAAATACTCTTATATTTTACGCTTGACTGGACTTTTCAATATCGTCTATTATCAATTAATTTGTGGATGATATATAGCCTATGTTTGGCCCCCACATTTTTTCAAAACTTATTTTCAATCACACACTCCCATAAAATAATTTTACACGTAAACTCAAAATTGTCCCTTATTTTTTAACCACACATTCTCTAACAAAACACTATTCCAAAACAAATTTTGGCCCAAAAATGGGGCTCAAACAAGAGCATAGTTTTGATATTCAACGTGCCCCATATATGTTCCTACTATTTGAAAGTTGATGTGCCCATTTGTCTGTGTTTTCTAATGGTACTCTATGTTTGTGTTTGCTTCTTAGCTTAAACAACTTCATGTATGAACGGTTTTATCGCAAGTATGAAACAAAACCTGTTCCTGAGCAACAATCTACAGTCAATCTACCAGAAGAACAAAGAGGTGGGTCCACAAACTAAAATATATGGTCTACTTAGAATAGTTTCTGCTTTTTGTACAACAGCAATTCCAAAAAATTATCCAAATAGACGAAAAAACAGCTTCTTAGTCAGAAGTAGCTTTTGATTTTTCAAAACAGCCCTTAAGATTTGCAGAAGGATTTATATCTCATATACTTCCAAGTATGAACAAGTTTAAATACAACATACAATTAAAATTAGAAAAAGTAATAAAAGAAAATAATCTGGAAAACCAGAATACAAAGCATGCTTGGCTGAGCTTATAAGGAAGAGTCTATAAGCAACACAAACGCAGACACGAAAGGAATGTTTCAGCATACCTCAGTTTTCCAAGGACGATACCAGATTCGTTAGAACGAAGAAGCCCAATATCTTCAGGAGATATAATCTCATATGTGTTCTTATGTTTAAGCATTCCGTCCTAGAAAAATGTTAAGAGGGAAAGAGAAAGGATTTAGGGAAATAAGGAGCTACAGTTTCAAAAGGCGGACTCAACAGTAGACCAATTAAACAAAATACAAATTAGTGTTTTGACTGAGCAAGAAAATTGTTACATTTATAAGAAAAGGGAAACGAAATACCATTTAAAACAAAATAGGGGAAAAGAACAAACATCAGGTGAAGCATTAAATTAAAACATGACCTAAGTAAAAGGAAGCATTAAGTAGGTCGTCTGCTAGATTCCGTTCCTGTCATTCATCATCGTTTAGGTACTATGTTCTGACCCAATGAGATGTGAGCCTAATGGGTGACATACTTTGTTTATTTTTCCTCCATTGTTTCCTTTCCTTATTGTTAGTTATTCTTTTTAGGAAGCTATGGCATGCCAAATAGACACAGCACAATCAAAGCTAAGGGTGTAAGGCTCTTAGACCAAAGTAATGCATCCAGATATATTAGCTTACAACACGAACCTGATGGATGCCACTCTCATGAGCAAAGGCATTGGCTCCAACAATTGCTTTGTGTGGCTGCACACGCAGCCCACTATATTCTTCTACCTAGAAACAGTGTAAATTTAGTTACAATAAAAACAAATTCAATCAAGAAAAACTACATTAAATTCAAAAGATTCTTGGGAGACTGCACCATCTTGCTAGCCATAACAATATGTTTTGTATTAATCCCTGTATAAAGACCATTTAGTACTTGCTCTCCACGGCATTTTAAGGCCATTACAACCTGCAATGAGAAAGTAAGAAGCAATCATTTAAATTAAAAAATACAGGTGAAAACATGGTTAACTAGAACAACTTATAAGCCAAGATACACTGACACGGACTCGTGTCCAACACGTACTGACTCGTTGATTAAATTATTTAAAATTCTCCGATTATAGTATAAATTTAATTTTATACTAGTTATTAATTGTTCTTATTGAAATCTTTTAAATATAAGTACATATTTGTTATTTAATAATAATTTTGAGTTAAAAATATATAATATCTTTTAGGGATAATTGCAGCAAAAGCCTCAAAACCTTTAAAATACTAGCAACATTTTTCCAAACCTTTCAATCGTTGTAGCTGTCACCCCTAACATTTTCAACCGTTGCATGTAAGGCCTTTTGAACGGTTTCCATCCAAGAAGCCGTCAGTTGACCACCAAAATGGAAATTGACCACTTTCTTTATAATTTCAAAAAGATAAAATAGTAATCTTATATTCATCGCATCAAATAATTAAAATAATTACATTAAAAAACCACAAAAATAAAAGGAAAAAAGGGGGAAAAAACTGTATCTTCTTCTTATTCCTCCTACCCCATTCCCAACCCCCTCGTAAAATCATAAAATTGGCCACACCACCACCACCTCAAATCACCCTTTCTCTTTTCACCAAATCACCCTCAAAATGTCACAACCGATGCCCAATCATAAATCATCCCTGACGTCGATTAGTGGTGATGATGGTTCGTATTTGCAGCTAAGGAGCAGCGACGAGTGAAGCTCGCACCCTAAATCAAAGCCTCTGTCCCCAATTAAAACAGTTATGAGGAACAATCCTGGAATTGAATGTAGTTTATTTGATTTCTGAACATTATTAATTGTGAAAACACGTATGACTTCGTATGGTGAAAGAGAGTGGTACTTCGCACTAATTGTCTCTTCATCCATGAAAGTTACACCACATCTTATGCCACTGCTATGAACAATCCATTTTTTTGTAGGTTTTAGGATTTGATTCTGTAAATGCTGATAGTGAGCTTACGTTTCGGGTTTGATTTTTTTTTTTTTTTCGCCAATGATGTACAAGGAATTTATCATATTGTTTTGGGCATCCACATGTCTTCATTGACTGTCTACATATTTTTGAAATTTAATTGTTTCATTCCAAGTTTGATGCCGACGGCGAGCAGTGATGGATACGGAGGCGAGTGGTGGGGGTACATATTAGTATTCTTTTCTTTCAGTTTTGGTAAGGCAGTGGTAATGGTGTCAGGTGCCAAGTGGCGGTGGTAGAGTTCCGGTGGCAATGGCAGTGGTCGATGGTGACATGTCCAATTTTATGATTTTATGAGGGGGTTGGGGATAGGGAGTGGGTTGGGGTGGATTGGGATTGGGACGGGATGGGGTGGAATTGGGATGGGATTTTTTCTTTTTTTGTGGGTTTTTAATATAATTATTTTAATTGTTTGATGTGATGAATATAACGCCATGTTTGGTACACATTATTTTTTTAATTCTGTTCAAACACTAAGACCTTGTTTGGTACACATTATTTTTTTTCATTCTTATTCTTCTACTCATTTTCAACCACACATTCTTCAATAAAATAATATTTTCCATCATATCAATAACTTTTCCTTTATTTTTAACCACACATTCTCCATCAATCTACTATTCAATAATACATTCTTTTAAAAGAATGTGTCCCAAACACACTCTAAGATTACTATTTTACCCTTTTGAAATTATAAAAAATGTCAATTTCAATTTTTGTGGTCAACTGACCGTTTCTTGGATGGAAGTCGTCCAAAAGGGCCTTACATACGACGGTTGGAAATGTTAAAGGTGACAGTTGTAACGATTGAAAGGTTTGAGGAAAGTCTGCTAGTGTTTCAAAGGTTTGGGACTTAAGCTGCAATTATCCCTATTTTTTATAAAGAAAGAAAAATGACTATGGTAGATTTTTCGAGGAGCGTCGGTATCCGACACGTGTCAACACATACATACTACCCTAATTGAAGTGTTAGTGCAACAGAACTTATAAGCCTCAAAATTTAAATATCAATTGATATATAGAAGGTAATGTTCAAGGGAGGAAGAGAAGAAAATGTGAGGTAATGATCATAACACGTTTCAAATATTTTGATGTCTGACCGGACGCAATGACCCTCTTAGAGATAATCCTAAGAATTACGAGGCAATGAAGTATACACAAATTTCCTAATAGCTATTAGGCATTATTTCTCACTAATTATTCAGCCATAATAAAAGCTCTCACAATAATTCTGAATTTAGCAGAAGAGAAGGACCAAGTTCAAAGGTATACAGGCACAACTCTTTAATATTTAGGATGTTTGGAGTATATAGAGCATGTTAGGCTAAGCTGAAGAGTTACTCTCAAGAAAATAAATTCTTATTTAGGGTTTGTTTGAGCCCCATTTTTTGGAAGAATAATTTTTGCAACAGCGGTTTTTTGGAAAATATGTGGATAAAAAGTAGGAAAAGTTTTGGATGTGTAAAATTATTTTATTGGGAGAATGTGTGATCGAAAATGAGTTACGGGAAAAATGAGTTTTCAAAGGATGAGGCTCGAACAAAGGCTTACTTTCTAGAAAAGCAAGTTTTGTTGGTAGAAAAGTCAGCTTTTTATAAGTTACGATTGGATAAAAGTTGTACTTTTTAAGCTGAGCCAAACATGATCATAGATCCATTGCAAGTGAGCTTCTGCTGTTTGCAGTAAAAGAATTACTGAAGAAAGGAAATTCGTGAACAGAAAAGACCGCTCACCTCCTCTAATGAGGCATTACCAGCTCTTTCACCAATGCCATTGACGGTCACCTCTACTTGCCTTGCACCAGCACGTGCCCCCTTAGAAAAATGATCTCCAATGTGAGCACAAGATGAAGTTGGTTATGTAAAAAGCTTGGAACACAGCAAAAGGAATTACCAACCTCTAAAGTATTAGCAGTAGAAAGTCCCAGGTCATTCTGACAGTGTGTAGAAATAATTACATTCTCAATGTCAGGAGTATTGGCTTTTAGGTCAGCAATCAGCTGACCAAATTCAGTAGGCAAAGTGTAGCCTACTGTATCAGGGATGTTAAGGGTTGTTGCCCCAGCCTTGATAACCTCTCCCAGAATTTGGTAAAGAAACTCTCTGTCAGATCTGTAAGAAACCAAAGGAATAAAAAGTGAGTGAACATAAAGAAAAATTCTCTGTTGTTCTTGTCGTCGAGCAATTTTAAGCACCTTCTTCTCTTGTTAGAAAAATGAAAATAAAAATAAGAAAATAATGTTGACTGGTGTGGCTAACAACCAATGTTAATACTATGCTCTTTTAGTATCATTTTATGTTCAGATTTTCTAGTCAGCTTCAAGAGCATGCAACAAAAAAACATACAAATTCTAAGAGTTCTCAGGGTTATACACCCATTATTTAACATAGTCAAATTATTCTATGAGCCCAAACCAGACCACTTACAGTTGAAGCACCTAGCACTTTCATGCTTCTAGAAGAATAGCTTTTTAATGAAATTGACTATCATTCCAAAGATGAAACTAATACTATCAAAACCGAGAAGAAGCCAACATAAGAAAACATCCTCACTTTCCAACAGAAAGGGAAAAAAATTATCTGTGCTTTCTGGTCGAATATGTTCCTGAAACATGTTTTAACAATTTTAACACATGGCGCAGCATAAAATATTTTGAGAAATTAACTTACATTTGACTTACAAGTTACTTGTTCTATTTGGTTTAGCCATTTAACAAACACAAACTTAGATATATATAGACACACACACACACACACACACACAGAGACAACCTTCAAAACGAATATTTAGCGAATTAAAACACATGGTTCTGAATATAATATTATCCAAAACAAAAGGATGTACAGTTAATTTGTAAAGAATTTTATTATTACAGAATATATTTTATCAGAAGAACCTGTTCATCAATTCTATTTGAAAACTAGAAAATGGTGGCAGAAACAACTAAATTCTAAAGGAACATATTCTCAAAGGTAACTTTCAGCCAACAGACAGAACATCATAAGAAAAAGAAAGAACTCATTTTGTTCACTGTAATAATCACAGGAAACAAGGCAGAATAAAATATTTCTGTGAATGTGAAGGATATATTCTAAAAGTTACACAACTCCTTTTTCATTAACAAATAAAAATTTCTGTTGTCCTAATTTCCAATTCTTAGAAAGCAAACGCACTTTTACCCATCTTTGCATATTCTTATTGCTTTTCACATTTTAATATCATCTATTAAATCAACTAGTTTATCCTCCATTTCTTTCCTTAATACTCCAAATTTTACACGCAAGGTCTGTTTTTAAGGAATTAAAAAAAAAAACAGACTGTAATCCCTATCAAACAGATAAATTGATACGGAGCCTAATCTGTAGTACTTATTTCGATTATTGCATCAAAAAGAGGAAAGAAGTGACCCTTAATTCCACAAACCTTCCAGCATCTTCGGGGCTAAATTCAACATCATTACACCCCAAGCTCCTTGCATGAGCCACCATGCTCCTTGCCTTCTCAATCACCTCCTCGGGCGTCATCTTCAATTTGTACTTCATATGGATTTCACTGGTGGCAATGAACGTGTGAATCCTGGGCTTCTTTGCCCACTTCACAGCCTCCCATGCCTTCTCAATATCCTTCTTGTTACACCTAGCCAAACCGCATATAACCGGCACGTGCACCTTCTGACCATCGCCATCACCGGAATCAACATTTCCTACCTCCCGGGCAATCAATTTCACAGCCTCGAAATCAGCCTCGGAGGAGGCAGGGAATCCCGCCTCGATAATATCCACGCCAAGCCTGGCAAGCTGGCGAGCGATGTCGAGCTTCTCCTTGGTGGTCATTGTGGCGCCGGGAGACTGTTCGCCGTCACGCAGTGTGGTGTCGAAGATACGCACATACTTAGGGTCAGGAATATGGTGGGGGATATACTCCGGTCGGTGGCGGCGGAGGGAGCAGCGGAGGATAAGCGCATTTCTTTCTTTCCGGTGATTGAAGCGGAAGACGGTGTTGAGCTTATTGGAGTGAACTGAGGTAGAAGGGGTTATCGGCGGGTGGTGTCGGCAGATTGAAGAAGCCGCCGCCGTTGCCATTGATGAAATGAGAAAAATTTCAGAGAATCCGACAGTCGGGGAGGTGGGTTGGGGTTTAAAGTGGCATTTAAACCCTAGGCATAGGGACGAGGTGGAAGGCTGACTCACGGTCAATATTAGAGTGCTGGAAAATTGCATGGCAATTAAGTAATTAATTAATTAATTACTTTTTTTTTTGAAATATATTTTTTAATTTTCTTTTCAATCACATATTTATTAAAATAATATTACACATAAATTAAAAAAATCATTCTTTTTTAATAATACATTTTTCATCAATCTACTATTTTAAAATACATTTTTTTAAAAAGAATGGGGCTCGGTATTTATAAATATTTTGATTAAAATTTATTTGTTTTGTCAAATCAAATTTATTCACATATATCCTAAATTTGGGTTAAATTCATGAATGATTAACCAACTTTATACTTAGGCACTATTTGATTCACGTCAATTTTCGCATTCTCATTCTTCTACTCAGTTTCTACCATGCATTTTTCAATAAAATAATATTTTTATCATATTAATAATTTTTCCTTCTTTTTTAACCACATATTCTCCATCACATCAACAGTGAAAATGCATTTTTTTCCAAAAAGGTGTACCAAATGGGGGCTTAGTATCAAATTGGCAATCCAATTTGATTTTTTTTTTACTGTGACCACCTAACTTCATGTTTTGTATCACATTTGCCACCCAATTTGATTTTATTTCAATATGACCATCCAATGTCATACTTAGTGTCACATTTTCCCCCCAATATGATTTTATTTCAATATGGCTACCAAAATTCATACGCAGTGTCACATTTACCATCCAATTTGATTATGTTAGATAAAGTTGTCGATGGCTTAACTGAAATTAAGTATGAAGTTGGGTAGTCCTTGTGAAGCAAAATAAAAGGTGAATTTAACCCGAGTTTTGTTAGTACTTATCCACTTTTTGTCAAATCACTCTTTATAAAAAAAGTGAACATAATAGAATAAAAGGAATTCCAATTTTGCATATAAAAATAAAATGAAGATAAGATAGGCATAAGCAGACTAATGATTGCACGTGTTTGGACCTAGATTTGACGGCATCTAGGGTTCGTATGGAAGTGATTATTTGAAAAGTGATTTTACGAAGAAAAAAAATTATGATTTAAAGTATGAAAAACAAGTAAAATTATTTTTCAAAAAATATATGATTGAAAATGTGTGTAAAGAAAAATGAATTTTAAATATTACTTTCATGCACGCACTTAATGGTGGAAATGAAATTTTAATAGGTGGCAAGGAAGTTGGGGAGCGATTATCGAGTTGAAAAACGAACTAGTAGAGAGCTTGTTTGGGAGGAATTTTTGGGGGAAGAATTGATTTTGAATAGTGATATGATGGGAAACGTGTGGTTGAAAAAGAAGAAAAAATTATTGATGTGATGGAAAATATTATTTTATTGAAGAATGTGTGGTTGAAAATGAGAATTGATTTACTGTAGAAAAATCAAAATCACTCCCAAACAGGGCAAATTAAAGGTATTAAATAAGTAGGGTGCCGTAGGTTTACCCCCACCGAAAAATGTGAGGACAGCAAGCAACATATTTTCATGATTTTTATGATGAGTATTATTGCTCGAGTCTATATGATTATCTATATACGTGATAGTGGGGTCGATGTCACATTATTTATAATGTTTATTTCATTTTTCTTGTGTTACGTGTACATAACAATTTACATATTTATCAACAAATGAAGCATTTTTTAAAAAAATTTTACACTCTACCAAGATGAATAGTCTTTGTTTGGTGTCCTTTAATTTTAAAAAGTTATGTTCTAAATAGTATTTTTTGGAGAACATGTGGTTAAAAAAAATAGGAAAAAAATTTTGATTTACGTGTCGAATATTTTATAGTGTGAATATATAGTTACAAATGTGAATGAAAAATAACAGTTTTGCTGTGTGCAGTTTTGCTGTGTGTACAGAAACTGTGCACACAGAAAACTGTCAGAACACGCACAACATAGGTGAGGCCCGCATTTTGGCAATATTTAATTTCACATGGGGCCACCTCCATGTGAGTTGTTTGTTGAACTTTTGAAGGGGATTTTTTCCTACCAAACACACTCTAAATAAGTAGGGTGCCGTAGGTTTACCCCCACCGAAAAATGTGAGGACAGCAAGCAACATATTTTCATGATTTTTATGATGAGTATTATTGCTCGAGTCTATATGATTATCTATATAAGTGATAGTGGGGTCAATGTCACATTATTTATAATGTTTATTTCATTTTTCTTGTGTTACGTGTACATAACAATTTAAATATTTATCAACAAATGAAGCATTTTTTGTAAAAATTTTACACTCTACCAAGATAAATAGTCTTTGTTTGGTGTCCTTTAATTTTAAAAAGTTATGTTCTAAATAGTATTTTTTGGAGAACATGTGGTTAAAAAAAATAAGAAAAAAAATTTTGATTTACGTGTTGAATATTTTATAGTGTGAATATGTAGTTACAAATGTGAATGAAAAATAACAGTTTTGCTGTGTGTACAGAAACTATGCACACAGAAAACTGTCAGAACACGCACAACATAGGTGAGGCCCGCATTTGGGCAATATTTAATTTCACATGGGGCCACCTCCATGTGAGTTGTCTGTTGAACTTTTGAAGGGGATTTTTATGTACAAATGGAAAAATCCGAAAAAGAAAACTCCGAAAAATAAATTAAAGTAAAGGGAATCAAACAAGCATAATAACAAATATACCTTCTTAATTTCATACGTAGAATCCGGTGTAAGTAAATTTAAACAATATAATGAAGCAGTTAGTTTCCTAAGAGATATATCACAACCCTCGATTTCATTCTAGCATAAAAATGTATGCCCATGTTTGGTACACATTATTTCAAAACTCATTTTCAACTACACACTTTTTAATAAAATAATATTTTTCATCACATCAATAACTTTTTCTTAATTTTTAACAACATATTTCCCATTATATCGCTATTTAAAATACATTCATTTCTCAATAATATCCATCAAACATAACCTAAATGAAGAAAATAAGGCATAGTTGATATACCAGCATCTCCAATATAATTTTGGATTGCTTGAAAAAAACACTTTAGTCACATAAACAGAAATAAATAATAGTTTAAAAAATTCTTTTATGCAAATTGACAAAAAACAAAAAATTAAATAAAAATAAAAATTAATTGTCCAGAGAGGTCTAAATATAGGGACTTTTTGAAAATTAAATTGATCATATATCTATTTTTAGAAAATTATCAAAATTAACTCTTCCACGCTTTTTGATTATCTTTATTTTATTTAAGGTACAAAATTCTGAGAATATAGCCTATGTTTGACACACATTCTTTAAAAATATATTCTTTCAAAACTCATTTTCAACTACACATTTTTCAATAAAATAATATTTTTCATCACATCAATAACTTTTTCTTAATTTTTAACAGCATATTTCCCTTCATATTACTATTTAAAATACATTCATTTCTCAATAATATCCATCAAACACAACCTAAATGAAGAAAATAAGGCATAGTTGATATACCAGCATCTCCAATATAATTTTGGATTGCTTGAAAAAAACACTATAGTCACATAAACAGAAATAAATAATAGTTTAAAAAATTCTTTTATGCAAATTGACAAAAAACAAAAAATTAAATAAAAATAAAAATTAATTGTCCAGACAAAGGTCTAAATATAGGGACTTTTTGAAAATTAAATTGATCATATATCTATTTTTAGAAAATTATCAAAATTAACTCTTCCACGCTTTTTGATTATCTTTATTTTATTGTTATTAAAAGACACATACGCGAAAATATAGAAAATGTAGATAAATCTCCCCAATTTTAAGCTTGACTGTCTATTGATTAAAAATCAATACCACGTCAATCGAAAATCCATCTATTTAAATACAATAAATTGCTATCCACGGAGTGCATTGGAGATTACCAACAACGGTTCTAAATCATCAACAAAACGGAGTAACATACCATTTATATTCATGCCTACCGATAACTGAAACTGTCGACCTTCAAAATAACGTTGGAATTCCTTGCGAATAAAAGTGAACGACGAAAAATGAACATTGTATACATAATTCGACAAGAAGCTGTTCCGTGCCTCGACAATGAATAAACTCACAAAAATCTATCTATATGGACGAGAATACCAATAGAAAGGCCCTCAAAATGGTAATCCTCAAAGGTATGTATGCAAATCACAACATCCAAAGAGAAATGGGACAACTACACAATCCAAATTAGCCCCAAAAGCAAGCAACTCTCAATAAAACAGATGAATAAATGCAGCTACTTGCTAAACGAGGCTAACAAGGAAATCGAAAGTGACACCAAAAATTATGGCTGAAAACTTATGAATGTAACTCTATTCTCTGTAATACAAACGGCTAGCACAGTCCCTTTGACTTCTGGCGATCAAATGTGGTTCAAGCTCAACGGTAGCCACCACCATATGGTTGTTGACCATAATTACCTGTTCCCATCATGGGGTTATAACCTCCAGGCATTGTTGATCCAGGAGGAAATCCTGGCTGCTGTTGCATGTTATATCCTTGAACCATATTCATGTTCATGTTCATGTTTATGCCCATGCCCATACCCATGTTTCCAGGTCTATTCATTCCCATCCCAATGGGTTGGTTTCCTGAATAGCCTCCCATGCCAAATCCTGATCCAGGATCACTGGTCATGCCCATGCCCATGCCAGAACCCATAATTGCATTTGGTGGAGGCCTGAGAGCACCTGCACCAGCACGGCCAATACCCGAACCAGATCCCATGGCTTTACCCATGGTAACGTTGGATGTTACTGTAGAAGCTGTAGGTTTCTCCATTCTCTTCTCCTTGCGATTTATGGCATCAAAATCAACTCCAATGTCAGCCAATGGATTTGTTTTAGCTGCAAATGAAAAAACAGGTATATAATAAGAGGTAAAGGAGTTAACAGGATGCAATGAAACAGTTACAAAAGCAAGAACTCACGTCCGGAAATATTTAAATTGACCAGTCCGCGGCTTAGAGTATCAGCCCAAACAGTAGATTTTGTCTCAAACTTGTCTTTTGATGGTTGAGGAACTATGGTAGCAGAACCAGTTGAGGCTGGTGAAGGTGATTGTGAAGCAATGGGACTGTTTGGCCTCACTTGTGGAGCTTGAAAACTCATTTGTGAAGCCACTGGAGCATTGTAACCTGACTGTGGAAGAAAATTATTTTGGGGAACAGGTCCAGTAGAAACTTGAGGAACAACGTGAAAAGCTGCTGCGCCAGTAGATCCAGTCTGCAGGTCGTAACCTGCATAAAAGTTGGCATTCGGCTGTGAAGACTGACCTCTGAACGGAGCATGAATACCAGCCCGTGAAGAACTCATTTGAGATGGAAAACCTGCAGCTTGACTACTGTGAGTTGGAAAAGCCATCTGTGATGTTTGACTAGCTTGAGATGGAAATGTCAAGGCAGTAGACTGATTCGTTTGAGCCAGAAAATTGGTCTGAGAAACAGATTGGCCTTGGTGAAGTGGATAGCTTGTCTGTAAAGGAGGTTGGCCCAGTGGACCAGGAAAAGCTGTCAATGATGCAAGCTCACTATTTTGAGTGTGAAAACCTGTCTGTGTTGCAGTTTGATTCTGCAGGGACAGCGGACCCAACTGTGATTCGGGTTGATTAGTATGAGGTGGAAACCCTGCCTGTGACACGTGTTGGTTAGCTGGAACAGGATAATCAGCTTGCGAATTGACATGAGGTGAAGCTGCAGAGGGTAGATAACTTGTATGCAAAGGAGACTGGCCAGGTTGACCAGGAAAAGCTGTCAATGATGTAAGCTCGCTATTTTGAGCATGGAAACCTGTCTGTGGTGCAGTTTGGCTCTGTACGGTCAGCAGACCTGACTGTGATTCATGTTTATTAGTCTGATGTGCTAACCCTATCTGTGACAAGGGTTGGTTAGTTGGAACAGGATAATCAATTTGTGAATGGGAATGAAATGAAGCTCCAGAGGGTGGGAGAATATCTGCTAATATATCAATATCTTCGTCATTATTTGATAGCTCCTGCTGCTGAAACTGTGGGATTTCTGTAGAAGGAAGTAGGGCACCAGAAGGACCAGATGATGAGTAAGTTGTACCATGAAAACTGCCCCCAAAATCATTTTCTGCATTTTTATTAACTGGCTGAGGCAAATCATAACTTTGATAGGGGTTCTGGCCAAAAGAATGTGTAGAGGTAGGAATCTGTTGTTGCGCTGGTACACTTTCCGTAGAAGGAATAGCTTTAAAAGGGCCATCCCCAAATGGATCATCAAATGACTGCAGAAAAAGCCACTTTTTTTAATCTCCAAATGCATTTATTCTATAATTGGCAACATCTACAGTGTAAGGGCAAGAAGAGGAAAAACGCAGCCGCTCACCAATTTAAAATATATGAAAGAATTGCAACATTAAATATTATACAAGTCAAAATCAACACCAAAGAACAAATAAAAGGAAATGGTTTTAGTCACACAGAAGCATCAATAGTGGTGGCAGAGACCTCTAGTTATTTGGTTGTATTAATGCAAACTTTTCCTCCCGTTATTTCTAGAATATAACTTGTAGTTGCAATTTTTCTTGACAGGATTTTCTTATTCTAAGACGATTGCTTATACAACACAGACAAACAAAAAGAAATATTAATCAGCTTTAAAATTTTGACATTAACATGATTGAACAGATGAAAAACAATATTTTCCTTGCTTGCTACTAAATTTATTAGATTTCGTCAAACTTTAATTCTAAATGCAGCACATTATTCTGAAAGTTTCAGACATGTTTCTTCATTTGACTCCAATAAATCGAAAAACAGTTGGAGAGAATGGGTTGATGGTAGAAAAGAGATGATTCTTTCTATACGAGGGTTGAATTTACAATAATGATCTTCACCTTTTTTAGGAGGGTTAGGGACTCAACCTCTTCAGAAAGAAAAAAGATAATTTATTGATATAAACAAAAGCAGGAAAGCTTACACAACTTTAAATATTATTTCAGAAAATAATTCATATAGTTTGTCTCCTCCTGCATCACTACAGACCTAATAAGAATGAGCACCAGCACAGATGAACTCTGTTTTACCATTCTTTTCCCCAAATTTCCCTAGTCATTATTAAAACATTTCATGAAGCAAAAGGTGCTTAATAAAGAGCTCAACCAGACCTAGGCCCAAAAGGGTCCAGGCTAACTTGACTTGGACCTGAGTTAAACAATTAACCCAAAGAATAAAATCAGGTAATTCATCGATAACTCTCAAATTGACTAAATCAATTAGAAGCCACAAGTGATACGAGCCAAGGAACTCTTTAAAGGCTACTGAGCAAATGAGCAATAAAAGATAAAATTTAAAATCAGATGTACGTATGAAGTAACTAGAAATTATCATACAAAGATTACCTGATTAGAGACTGTGAATGGTGATGATGTGGGTGTAAATGTGGGAATAGAGCTGGAGTTCAGTGAGGCATTAGCCTCCTTGGCCGCCGTTCCCGGTGCAGCAGACACAAGAGCTAATGAGTTTGAAGAAGATGGCTCAGAAAAAGAGCCAAGTAAATCCATTTCCGCACCACCAGAAGTAGTTGGAAGGATACCATTTGATATGGCTGGTATAGCTGTTCAAAGAGGCAAAAGAATGAGTCTACCGAGACAATTTTTTACACCAATAGGTAAATATCATAAATGAAGAAAATTCATGATCATGCAACATTGGGCCTTACACAAGTTTATGTCAAGTGTTCCCTAATTCTTTCGCCGTGTCTCCTATCCATTTAACCCCGCGCATACCCCAGATAATATTGCTCATAAATAACTATAGTAGGATAGTGGGATTTCAGCACAAAACCCAAAAATGCTGGCTCGAGTCTAGTTAAAATATCAATGATCATGTACATCCAAGTGCAAATTCTTGTCAGATCCAAAACAACAAAAAACTTCCCTATTCTCATTAGCTTAGATTTGATAGTCGTACAGTTTTCCCATGATGTCACATAAACTTCCTTGAAAATAACTTAACTGAAGTACAATTAGGTATAATTTGCTTCAGTTAATAGAGTATTAAATGCCTACAAACCTAGTAGTAGCTTCCAGATAAGATAATGCAATTCTTAAACTGGTAACCTATTTAGTTCTCTATTTCACATATGTTATGAAGCACAAGAGGAACATTCAACTCTGGTGTGAAGATTGACGATAGAAAATAGCTGAGAAAGAGAAGGACTTACATAATAAGGTATATACATATAGAATCAGTCCACTGAAGCGAACAGAAAAACCCCAGTAAAGCAATAAAGAGTGTAAGTGCAGTTTAATTGCTACAAGTTCGAAAGGAATCTCGATAAAATGGTAAAAACCATTTAATGTAATTTGCTATGAGAGAGCAAGATCCAACCACAAACGACACATGTTCAAGACAAGCCAACCAATATTGTACCAGTTACTTTCGTACTTTTCTATTTAACCAGAACGAATGCCTTGCAGGTTATGCAGATTGTGATGAATGCCAAACAACAAGAAATGCCTTTGGCCACCATTTCAACACCTGGAGTCTTTGTCAGCAGCACGATGGTCAAGAAGGAAAACAATATGCTAGGAAAAAGGGTTGCTTCAGTTGTTCATGGAACAAGCCAAGACATTTTGGCTTTCTTTACATAGCAATCATCATACGAAAATAGAAACACCTCAGGTATACAATCAAATTGTCCAGCAGTAAAGATCATACAAGTATATATATAAAATTGCACAAAAAACACAACCTTATTGGATATTTCACCTTTTATATAACCTGTCAAAGAAACCTTGATTTTATGTAACAAGACTCCATCCTCTTTGATAAAGTGAACTTGTTATCAAAAAGCGATGTCACTAACAAAAGATATCCAAGTGAAGATATTCCGTTACCTGAAAATGAACCGCGAGGATCAAATTCACCAAAGCCATCTACTTCCTCATTATTATCAGGAGCTGGAGATGGAGCTGGTGGTAAAGTAGGAGCCGGGTTTGAAGCATCTGTTGTTACATGGCTTGGACTAGCACTTGCAGGAGGAGAGGATGCTTTAGGAACAGCTGATAGATCTCCATCCCTTTTGAAAAGAGGAAGTTAGGACCAATTCAGAATATTTGCAGAAGCTAGGTGGTGGATAAAAGTTTGCTACCTTTCACTAAGAGTGGAACTGTGTGCAGTACCAGCAATCTCTTCATAACTAGGAGGAGCACCAAGGCTTTGATCAGAATATTTACGGTCAAGGTGCCTGCTGGCCATACTACAACAACAGCAAAAACAACTAAGCTTGTTTGCAATAAACTAAACCTGCCAGCAATAACTGGCAAAAAAGCCACAAATAAAAAAAAAATATTTCACTAAATTATGAATAGCATGAAAAAGGCTTTCCTAGAATTACCTTCCATCTTGAGAATGGTCATCGCCTTTGGCATTACTACCTCTACAATTGGCAAAGTTAAAATTTTAATTGATGTAGGTAATAGAAAATAAAATTAACCGAAAACATAACACGTGTACAACATTAAGGAAAATAAATAAAGCAACTCCCTGACATGAAAACTTCAGAGAGACTACAATGACAATCAATCCTAGAAAGAGGTCAAGCCAAAACGGCACAATTGTTCTTTTTTCATATTTTTACCACTTCATACAAAACCCATTTAATGCTTATCACTTCATTATATAGCCTGTCGTCTTTACCATTGAAAACAACAGAACAATTATATATCATGTAAGAAAATACTAAAATATTTCACCGCAAAGTTGGATTTTACTTGTACGCGAGAAAACTTACAAACCTGGAAGAAATCTGTCCATCATCTTCATAAGCACGGTTCCCATTCCTATCAGTGCTTCTAGATTGTGAAACATTCTGATAATCACTGTTTTGACTTCTTCCACGGTAGTCATCATCCCTGTTGCCATCCTGGCCATACCGCTCCTCGTTATCTCTACTATACCTGTCTCCGTCATGGCCATATGAATCACCATACCTACCATATCTGCCATCATTCCTGCTTCCCCGTTCTCTTTCTCTTCCATAGTCATTTTGCCCATCATCTCTGCTTCCATAACGATCCTCATCATATTTGTCACCATATCCTCCTGCATTTGACTGAGAACCAGGCCGATACATACCATCACCAGTTGACGTGTTGCTATACCTATTTCAATAGTTGTACACAGTCAAAAGATGATTTCATATATACTATCTGGATTTGTATGGTTATTTCAAGCATGCCAAACACACAACATGAGATAGCCAATAAAAGTTGAACATGAGAAACGCTATATATTTAGAAGGTGACCCTATTGCACAATGAAAACATTACAAAATGAAAGAAAATGCTGTGCCCTTGGCCCAATCTTCCCAAACAAAACTAGAGAGAGAGAAGGAGAGAATAGGATCTCGAATTTCCATATTATCAAGATTTTTGGTTTCTCAAGATCCTAAATCCATAGGCTTTACTGTTTTGCAGAGTCCACACTATTCAATGGTAAACATTCTCCCCTCTACTTAACATAAGCTTTCATCCATCAAGTATTAATTTCTTATGGCAACTACAACAAATTGATAACTCCGACCAGGTCTCAAGCCCAGATAAAGAGAGTTGAGGTAGGTTGACAGCCAACGTAACTTTGTGAAATTTTATAACATGAATCCTAATATAAATTTTGTTTCGCATTTTAGCCAACCCCAAATTTAACAGGAACATGCTTAGTTTATTGAGTAAAAACTTCAGCAAATTGATTATCTACTTCTACTTAATCATATATGCAAAAGGTCAAAGTAAGGCTACAATTAGTTCTGCCTTCACTATACCTCTTGACAGGTAAAAATTTTCAAATTCAAGGGTAACATTAGGGATTATTTAGTAATCCAATCCTACTTTTATTTATTTTCTACTTTTTAAAACACTGCAAATCAATTAACTGAGCTGAATAATAGAAAAACCTTAAAAGGTTGCAAGAATTTCAATTACCAGTCAGAGGAAACGCCAGACATTATCGACATTTATCTCAAAATAACCCACAAGGAGGCATCTCAGATAAAGGTTTCCTCCCCTTGGAGGAAGATGTACATATAAGTCATGATAACAGGCTTAACATGCCCCCATTTAATAATGGTGGACTTTGAAAATTTCAAGAAACCATTGCATACAAAAAAATAAAAAAAAAAGATACAATGGACAACACCCTTGTATTAAACAATAATGGGCAACAGAATGTGCACAAGTGCATATTGAATCTTAATAATCTTTCTGCCCTTCATGAAATTTCAAAATTTTCAACAAAGAACAACAAAGACAGGCACTAGGAGTAATGATCTGGCATGGTAACAGTCAAAAGAAAATATGAAGTAAAACCTTCCAGCTTTTAAATTGAAATACAAAGACAAAAGAAAGTCACTTTTAACCTCAACTGATTAATATAATGATCAACAAAATGGAAGGTAATAGTTACAAAAGGATACATCTAAGGTGTAATTATGGCATGACAAGGATAATCAGGAAACTTGGAGCAGACTTACTTGTCCATGTTAGCAGCAGCCTTCTCACGAACTTCTTGTATTTGTTCCTTGTCATTTACAAGGGCAACAAGACTTTGAGATTTCCTTCTGACGTTGCTTCCTTGATCCCTCCCACTGGAATCAATATATTGAAAATCGAACAATGCCTATCACAAGAAAAATAATGATAGCACAATCAATCTAAGAAATTCAATGCTTATCCAGCAGTTCGTAGAATAGCTGATAAAAGAAGGTGCATATGAAAAAGAAACTCACCGATATTTGGTAAGTATGTTCCCTGATCTCATCTATGGCACGCTCTGATCCATGAGCTACCAAGTACTCCAAAACAGTCAAAGCCTGGAAAAATTTTCATTTGCATATTCAAGAGAACAGGAGATGCCGGGAAAGAAAAACGTCTAAAACATACAATGGGATGAGGTAAGAAAGAGATCACTGTCAATGTACAAAAATGGGGGTCGCAAAAACTAATTCAAAAATTATATTCCCTAGGAAAATAATTNGAACAAAAACCTTGTAGACATGACGCCAATTTTTTCCAGTGTCATTGATACGCTTCCAGATTACCGCCATAATCATCAGATACTCGTGACTATTGAAATGAAAAATGAATACTTTATGATGAAAATAATGATCAGAAATTACAAGGAAGATTCATTAAACTTACTAATTTCTTGATGCCTGAGCAATATCAGCAAGAAGAGATCCATGAGGTCCCCAGGGCTCATTGCTAGTGGCATCAAGGACCTGAATATAGAAACAGAAATGTTAAATGCTGTTAAAGAGAGAAACAGGAACAGAAAAGGTATTTTGCAAATTAAGTAACAACCTGAACATTACAACTTCTTGTGAATACCAAGTTAACCAGAAGACATGGAAGAAATTTGGAATATACTGAAGGAATTAAAAAATGGAAAAAAATTACCTTCCTTTCTACAGGAGGGACTTTCAGAACCTTTTTATTCACCTCTCTCTTACTGCAAGAGGAAGTAACATGCATAAGACAAAGTTTCAGAATTAGATTGTCTAGCCTCCACACAAACAAAATCAGATTCTGAAGTACATTTGCAATGAAAGACAAGGTTTCAGGATTAGTAAATATATGCAGAGATATTCAAAAATTATTTTGAGCACAATAATGACAGATTTCAAATAATTTAAACAGTTTTTGCAATCAACACTTTGGTCTCTTCCTATATATTAAATAAATCGGTTCAACAACAAAAGGCCATATAACATGTATGATGCAAAGCCTGAATCTTGGGATAAAAATGTTTGGGAACAGAGTTGAACTTACATGTCGCGGACAGTTTGACCAAAAACCTTCTTCATTTCAACTATAGCTTAGGAGGACAGATCAGATATCCTCTTCAAATGATTGTACACTGCCAAAAGGTAAACAATCAACCATTATACATGACATACAGTAAATTCTCTTTCTTCTGGAGGTAAGAACTAAATCACAGGGAGAGCTATCGAAAGGATGAAAACAAATTTCAGCAATAAGAGGTGTCACCCACTGGAAATTTCATTTTCTTTATTTAATTCGAGTTAATTCAATCAGGAAATGAAATTTAATCAGGAAAAGATTGCCTTAACCAAATCCAAATAATATCCAATAACAGAAAAAGAGAACCATGTATTACATTGCATCCAGGAACAAGAAAAATCCAATCGCAGATCATAAATGAACTTTCAAATGTTAATCTTTTCGCAATCTGCTTTGCAAATTGATCCAATAAAAACATATATTATTTGAACAGATAGCAAAATAACACAGACAGCTAGCAAATAAAATCTGGGATACAATCAAGAAAAACGAAAATTCAGGAAAAAAAAAACTCATGTCTAATTAATCAAATTAAATAAAAAAGATCAAATTCAAACCCGATGGAAATTGAGCCTTCACTACCAAAAAAATTTCAGATCTGAGAGAGAAAAATGTAGAGAAAATTCGTTGATGGTTGTCTACAGAGAGTAAACCGCGTAAAAAGTGAATGGAAAAAAGAAAAAATAAACACTCGTAGGGTCAGCTATTGCTGTTAATAATGTAATTTAAGCAAATAAAAAGGTAACTATTTATTTATTAATTTAATAAATTTAAATTACTGTTGAAGAGTCCGACAACGCACCTTAGACGCAGGGATTTATGCGACAATGATATCTTGTTTTGTTTGAATTTTTTTCAACTTACGGTAATAACTTTTGTCCATCATTGTAAGGTATTTTTCATTTTTGTGAAGTAACTTTTTAAAGGAATAATAAAAAGTAACTTTTTAATATTTTTGATTCTACACTAACGACGGATACTTTGTTTGACCATTGAATTATATGTAGTTGACTTTTGATTCTTTTTATTTTTTCTTTTAAAAATTTAGCACCAAACTTTAAGTTACGACATTAGTCATCATATCTACAAAACGTATCAATTTGGTAGAGATGTGCATAGGAATAGGGTAGGTGATCCTCCTCTCCCACCGTTCCCCGTAGGAGATTTTCGAAATGTGGGTCCGATTAAAATATTCTTGTTTCTCATCATTTTTTATTTACTTTTCGAGATGTGGGTAAGTACTATGATCCCATCCCGATCCGTCAACTAATCGAGGAATCATCATCTTGTTCGCAGTAGAACACATGGGATGGAAATTTTGTCATGTCTAGAATTTGATGTGAAAAATAGAACTTTACATTGGCACGGATGCAAACGTTAATTCTCATTATTTTTCCACGAGAGACTAAGTGTTACAAGAAAAAATCTAATATTTCTCACTTTGTATTTTAATTATGAAAGTAAATCAAATAATATTACTTGTATAATCAACTGAAATTTATTAAGAATCCATGGCTATTACAAGCAGCACACAATTGCAATTCTTAAATACTAGCTATAGCCGTGCAATGCACGGATTTTGTTATTTTGAAGGTAATATTAGCGTTGAATATAGAAGATTAAAGGGAGATATAATCAGGGTTAGTAAAATGAGCTTAATTGAACAAAATAAATTAGATTTTCAATTAATACAATTTTGATTTTATATATCAAATGAATACAATCCTGATTTTAATTCTAATGATTACTTTCAGTAAAAGTTTGGACGTGATTTTTATACATGTCATGTGAAGTGAAATTTGAAATGCTGAATTTTTTCCATCTTTTTTACCCCTTTTCCAAGTTGAATGATAACGATTTTTGGACTATATTTGTACTGGT